ATTTTTAGAATGGGGATTTTAAATATAAAGATTTATTGATTGGGTGGGGACAATCCCTCTATTTTTAGATTCGTGCAAACTCTCCTCTTGGCAATCCAGCAAAGGGAATTAAAGCCAATTACTTCTAAGAGGGCTTCTGGTGTGCAGCAGAAACTGTGCAGCTGCTTTCTGACTTCCAGCACCAACATTAAGTGAAAAACAATACTCTCGTTTATATCCTTAAGAATTACTTCCAAGGCACAAAAGATTATGTGTAAACAAAGAAACCTCAAAGCAGATAATCAATTAAAGTTAGAACTGCTCTAGTCTTATGTCATGTAGTGAAAGCTGTATCACGGCATAGAAAATAAATCAAAGAATTGCTAGACCTCCAAACTCCCACAGTGCTCTGGGTATTTTGATGTAGGTCATGTAACACATGTATATGAGATTCTTAGTAGATATAAGTTATTTACAGATTGATTGCCATTTGCTAAGACTGACACCAGTGACCTTGTCTACTTCTTTTCCAATGGCACCCTTTAGGAGCCCACATTTGACTGTGTACCAAGTTGTTAGTGGGTTTTTGGTTTTAAAATCGCATACATACTCTCCAGTATGTCTATGTAGGTCATAGGGAAATGTCTAGGAGTTTGTTATCTTCTTACACCAAGTAGGTCCCAATAACAAAAGTTAGGTATTCAGGATTGAAGGTAAATGCCTTTATGGGCTGAACCATCTTATTGGCTTTGCGTCTAGTCTTCATAACTGGTCTCCAAACTCTGCTACTTAATTATCTGTAAAAATTATAATTATTATATAATTATAATCATGGTCTTTCATTGCCTCTGATCGATACCAACACTTTTCTTGCCTGTCCAGGTCTGTTTTATAATACTCACTTATTTGAAAGTCGCGATTGGCATTTCCCAGCTTCATTAAATAACTGTATTTATTACTTGTGGAAATGCTAGTTCAATGTTTATCATGTCATTGGCATAATGGGAGATAACTCTTGATTTTCAAACTTGATTGGATTTAAAGGTTACCAGTAGATTAATGAAGCACACCTAAGTTGAGCAGTTTTTGATGAGGAATTGTTTCCCATGAATTAAAAAAAAATAGTAGCTGAAACTGGGAAGGGCCTTTTGCACACAGAAGAGCTCTCCACTCTATGTTCTGAAGCGCTTCAACATTCTGTCACCCGTGGATGCTTGAAACTCACTTTCAGTCTCCCTTTTAAGAGAAATCAGAGAATACAGCCAGAATCTAGGAGGAAAGGACAAAGAGGAAAATAAAATGAGAGTCTCCCAGCAAAAATAAATAAAGAAAAATAGAAAAGGTAAGCAAAACTAAGAGGTTAAAAAATAGTAGAGGCCTTTTAATAAACAATCATTAAAATACAGAGAAGAAAAATCTCTCTGCAAAGCAGGAACTGAACCCTGATCAACCTTCCCACTTAAACCTTAAAGAGAAGAGAAGTCAGGCAAAGAAAAAAATAATTCGAGAAATTTTTACAAAAGGATGAATGCTAAACAGCTGTATAATCAGGAGTATATGTCTTTATAAGCAAATAGATGGAAATTCTAGATGCAAACTTATTATGTAAAAGAAACTGAAGTGTAAAATAAGTGATGTGAACTGTAATATAGAAAAGAACAATATCTTTCAAATTTAGCAAAACTTGAAGATGCATCACAAAAATATGAAAAATTATCAGAAATGAAAGAATAAATATTTTCAGAAATAATTGTTTAACAACTGAGAACACATGATCCATAATCTCAACAGAAAAAAAAAAACATTGTAATTTTAAGGGTAGGAAAGGAGGTAATATTAAAATGACAAAGGAGATTTTAAAACTTTGATAAAATTGAGAGACATGAATGATAATAAACAACACACAAAGCTATATTTCCTAAATATCAAAATCAACCTAATGAAGTAAAGTGAGCATTATTGTGTGTAATTCAAGGAGCCAGTACTGAAAATTGAATCTTTAATGTGAAGAAAGAACATTATACACCAAATTTTCTATAATAAGAAACACCAAGTTTGTGATGTCTATTTTATTTTATGGCTCATATAAAAACTACCTGAAATTTCATATGGACCCATCTGAAAAAAAAAAGTATACCAAAATTAGCTTCTGATATCCACTGTTATCTTTTACCACCCAAAATAATGTCTCTCCTTAACATGATGGAAAAGGCTCCATAAGTAATGTATTACCGTGAATGGCTGTACTGAGAACACAGGATTGATGACATCATTTTGTCTTGGATACTTATGTAGCCTGCTCCTTGCTCCCTGCTCCTTGGCCACAGCTGCTAATCCATTATTCTGGTATTTTGTAACTCCAGTGGGCATCTGTCTGCTATTCTCTTGTCTGGGTTGTTCTTGCATAGATTGAATTGAGACTGCTCTGTCACAAAACTAAATCGTTTTTTCCCAGTTCGTTTTTAGAGAGGACATCTACATCACTTTTTTTCTTCCTGTGCTTTGCATTTTTTAGGAGGCCTTTTAAATTAATGTCTTAAAGTAAAATATAAATTAGTATTTTCACCTTCTACTTCTTCACTGTAACTCCACCCATCTCTCCCCCAGGCCCTTTTAGACTGATGGCCTCTTTTCTTTGGTTATTATTATTACACACATATGCATAAATCTATGCATACAGAATAGTGAATCTGTTGACTCTGACTTATGGGTTTATAACTTCAGGGCTAAACATTTTGTGTTGAATAACTAAATGGGGGACTCATTCTTAGGAAGAGCTAATTCTACTTTCCCATCAGATATATTAATATTTTGACATATTTTTAATATGATTTTATTGCTTTCTTTTATGCTTAAATGTAAGCTACACAAGGAAAGAAAGTATGTTCCCTTTGTGCATTGCTGTATTCTCATACACCAAGCAGTGCTTTATATAAGATGTAAACTTTCTTAATGTTTTTTGATTTAATCACTGAATTCATAAAAGATTTCAAAAAACAGAAAACAAGTTTATATATCATAAATGTACACCAATAATCACCTGTTACTAAGGGCAATATATTTTGGCATTTGTGTTTTATCATTGTAAAAAATAATTTTATTATAATGAGTTCAGAAGTAAAAAAAAATCACATACCTAAATTAAAGTAGGCATTCAAATACTTTCCCTGTCCCAGACTTGGAGGCTTTTTAAAATTCTGAATATAATTTATGAGAATCAAATGACAAGTGCCTAATTAATGCTCCCTTAAATTATGCCATCAGATTATACACTGGGGAAGATATGCTTTGAGATTTTTATTGTCAAACAGAGATACAAAGTCTTACAAATAACTTTACACATAACATTGTGACTTTATCTTGTATCTATTCAAATGTTACGGACCTTGTAGAGATCTACCCTTAATGACAATTTAGCAAGAGGAATGATGTTATAACTCAACCATATAGAGTATGATTTATTGGACTATGTGAATTGCACACAGACCTATTTACTATGCATTCTATCAATTGCCTTTCTAGTAATTGTACATGTGATGATCTTGAAAATAATCTTCTAATGTAATCAGTTTTTAAATAACTTGAAACAGATTGAAAATACCACCTAACCTTGAGCCATCATTTGGGTGTAATTCTGGAAGCCCAAATGCTTTCAGTACAATGATCACAATGTACTCTGTCCAGTCTATTGTGTTACTGCCTAGATCTCTTGATGAAGGTGTCTATAATTCTGAACTAACTTTCCACCCAATGAATGAGGACTTGAGAATTTTAGCTACTTCCTAATCTTAGCCAGTGTGATCAAGACTGTTCATATTTCTTCATTGAAGTCTTACTGCCAATCAAATGATTTTTTTTGCACCCCCAGGAAGCACGGTTTAACAATAATTTTTGAAAAATAGGAAAATTGAATTATATATGTTTACTCTGTCATCTATAAAATTATATTGAACATCTCTAATTTCATTAATTGGAAAGAAATGAAGAGAATTTTAGCCAATGTATAATAACCATGTAGAAATTCTTAGAATCAGAGTAGATAAATTTAAATAAGTACTTGGGTGGTGACTAAAGAAAATGATTTATAAATACTTCATTTAACATAGGTGTTTCTCCTATTTAATGACAACCTCCCCTTGTTTTATAACAATTTATGCTTGATTTAAAAATCCTATCATCTTTAACACCAAGAAATTATTTTTTTAATTTATATTATGTGTGTTAACTTTATATCAATTATGGGACTAATGTAATGTTTGACTATAAACCAGTAAACTATGTCTACAATTGGTAACTTTATCTTACTTTTGAAAAATTTGCAACATGAAATGACATTTAGCCTGTAACAGTGTTTTTAAGGATTAAAAACTTTCTAGCATTAGTAATAAAAAAGATGTACAAATTGGTCGTAGGTCACAGAAAAAAAGTAATGTAATTAATTTTAATTATTTAATTATATAGAACATACAGAAATCTAAAATTATAACCTCAAGTACAAGTCCAATTTATTGTCATTTTTCTTGTATTCTATAGGATTTTAAGAATCAATTAGTTATCTGGATGGAATTTCAGAATATCTTAATGTTTAAAAGATTTTAATAACTTATATAGAGAGAATGTCCTTCATTTCTTGATTAGGTACTAATTTTAGAACCAACATTGTTCCAATTCAAATATTTAAATATTTAATATAAAATAATACTTAAAGCACATTCCTAGCTGGGTGGTGTGCACTCCGGAGGCAGAAGCAGGCAGATCTCTCTGAGTTTAGGGCCAGCCTGGTCCACAGAATGAGTTCCAGGACATGATCCAAAGCTACAGAGAAATACTGTCTCAAAAAAAAAAAAAAAAAACCAACAAAACAACAACAAACAAACAAAGTAAACCAAAACACATGTCTGGGCAATTTTTTTGCAAACTTGTATCATTTAGTTAACACTTTGTATCAGAATAAGTTTATGATTTTATGACTTAAGTATTTGAATGTTTGACACTTTCATTTTTGTGTGTGTTTTCTTTAGATAAGAAATGTTGAAACCAATCAATGCTTAGACAACATGGGCCGCAAAGAAAATGAGAAAGTGGGTATATTCAACTGCCATGGCATGGGAGGTAACCAGGTACACAGTCTTTTGTTTTAGCTCCTTATTTAGGTGTACAAGAGAAAGGTTACTATTAAGATAATCAGTGTCTGCCCTGGTTTACATGCCAATAAGAAGTGAATGGTCATTCCAATCAACAACTAAGTATGCCTATCTCATTGTCCAGCTATCTTAAGAGAGCAATGCGGAATTCAGTGGAAAAGATTAAAACTTAAAATAAACCTACATTGAATGAAGACAGTCAGAATACTTGAGCATCTCATTTTATCACTAATTATTTAAATGCCTGTGCTTTGATTTGCTATTAACTGAATAAGAAAACAATGATTTTACAACCGCAGTGTTTTCCCAGTGGTGATTATTCTGTATTTTGTTCTGTTAATTATTATGTATATAAGAAATTCTAAGAGTTATTGAATTTCAATAAAATTTGAATGTGTATGGTCAGCACTGGAGCAGACTGAAATCTAGGATGGATTTCCTGAGTGGCAATCCAATTAATTATCAGAAACCTACCAGAGAACAAGGAGGAATCGTACCTTCACCTTGAGCACTGAAAAGTTTCTCTGGGAGAGACAACAAGCGTCCTCTTGTTTGTGAGTACCTGTACTGTAGCAGTCCTGATGCGTTACCTTAGGAAGCCAACTTTAGTTTTCCTGGAAACTATCATCACAACACTGAATCTGAAACAGCAAATAGTCAGTAAGCAAGCTGTTTACAGAAGCTGATGTAGAACAAGAAGTTCTGTGTCAGTGGTAACATTTGTGGGCCAAGTGTCTCGCAAGTGAATTGAGGTTACAACAGCCATTCTGTCTATCACCTGTCAATATCTATCCAGTGCTGTGGAATGTGGGAGTTTGATTCACAGAGAGCTTGCATGATACACTCAAAAATGTGAAAAGGAACTTTCTTCCTTAAAAACAAAACAAAAACATTAAAACCCTAATTAGTATGTTTCAAAGTTTCAGTTCTAGTAAGAAGATACTTAAATTCAAGTTCCTAGTTTATTGCATTTGGAAGATAATGTAAAAACAATTTATGAAAAATGACTGTTAAAAACTGTACAAAGACTCCTGTTATTCTATCATCTCTACCTTATAAACTTAATGACAAATAGAAATCAAGCCAATATAGGTCTACTTACATAAGTACTTAGTAACGTTTATAAACATACATATATACTTATTTCAGAGTCTTTTAATCTACAAAGCGATCAATACAAATAACTAAGTAATGCTTGATTACTTACAAAATAAAGAAAAAAAATTAATTTTTTCATATTAAGTCACATGATTCATAATCCAACTAAGATAGCATGGTGCATACAGAATGCTCAGTTCATTTTGGCCTGATGAGATTGTCTTCATCATTATTCTATTATTCCAGAATTGTTCTCAAATATCTCCCTTTAACTGTCAAAGTGAAAAACAGTTGGCATTACATAACATATGGGGGTCACCCATAAAAATATGTACTTCCTAGTGTTATTGTTTAGACAGGGCAGATTGTATTCACATATTTAGAAAAAATATGTGTGTATATTTATGTATGTTTATGTTTATACATATACATAATATACACAAAAATGTATGTAATAACATTTAAAGAAGAAGGCGGACATGAATTTGAAAGAGCAAGGGGAGATACATGAGGGACTCGGAGGAAGGAAAATATGAGAGAAAATGATGTAATAAATTATAATATCAAATAATAATTTAATAATTTGAAAAACAAAATATCATTCAGAGACTTGCATTAAAAGCAAGAGAAATATGGCCTTATCCGTTAGTATTGCTGAGTTTTCAGAAATTTCTCTTTTATTCTAAAAACTGGATAGTATAAAATAGTTAAACCATATATAAACCTCTATGGTGATGATTTTTTTATGATGATGATTTTTGATTTGATGAAATTCAGTATTTCTAAGTTATTTAATTTTTCAGTTCCTTACTTTCAGAAAAGAGCATATTTAGGATGTTATTCTGATTTATCCTTTCTGTTTTCCTGTTTTATTCTTTTATGTTGCTATGGAAACAACATCAATTTTTTATAGTTATCTACTTGTGAATTTTTACAAGTAACCTCCAGCCAATAGAGATATTCATACTCTCCATCCTGCTTTATACATAAGTCATAACAAACCCCAATATTTTCACTTCTATGGAGTTTCCTTAGTGGTTTGTTTTTAATAGGTCTCCTGTAGCCCAGGCAGGCCTTGCTCTTCTTACATAACTGACATTGGCCTTGACATCTTGGTCTTCCTGCCTTCATCTCTTTTGTGATGGTAATACAGGCTTGACCCACAATAAACCACATTCACTTAGCTGCATTTCTTAAACAAGTCATTTGTTTGTGGATAAGGATATGTTAGCTACACCACTTTTCTCAAGAATTTTGATGATTGAACTATTTTACACTAACTTTTAAGTGATTGTACAAAATAATAGGATTGCATTGATGTTTTTAATTATTTGCACATTAAAAACTATACTTTGCTGTTATTTGCATGCCCACTGTCCTCTCCCACAGCTCTCCTACTCTGACTCGTCCCATTTCTACTCTGAATACCTTACTTTTGTTTCATGTTTTTTTTTAACTTCCTCTGAAGTTTCTTGCTCCCTCCTTCTTCTTTTAGAACTCTTTCTACCGTTAGTAGATGCCATTTTAATTCATGTCTTAGACTCACACACATGCATAAGGCATGTATAAATTTAAACCACATATTACACATGAAAGAAAATCTGCAGTATTTGACATTATGAGTTTGAAGTATTCTGCTGCCCATAATGATCTTCAGTTCCGTCTTCCTTCAAATAACATAATTTCATTCTGCTTTACAGTTAAATAAAAATTTTATTGCACATATGTACCACACTTCCTTTAGTGATACATCTACTGATGGTATCTAGCTGGTTCTATATCATAGCTGTTGTGAGTAGCGCAGCAGCAAACATGCTTGCACCAATATGTCTTTGGAATGGTGACTTGGACTCCCTTAAATTTATACCCAGGAGTGTTATAGCTAGATCACAGGATAAATTTTCTTTTAAAAATATGTTTGGTCAATCACCATATTCATTTCTATAATGACTGCACATGTTCTTTCTATTGCTGAGGAGATACACCATAACCATGGCAACCCTTATAAAGGAAACCATTTAATTGAGGGGGAAGCTTACAGTTTCAGAGATTCAGTCTATTATCGTCATAGTGGGACATGGTAGAGTGCAGGCAGACGATGGACTGGAGAGGTCGCTGAAAGATCTACATTTTGCAGACAATAGTAACTAAACTGAGCTACTGGCTATGGCTTGATCATATCTGAGACCTTGAGCGTATCCCCAAAGTGACACACTCCAACAAGGCCACACCTTTTAATAGTGAAAGTCCTTCTGAAGCCAACTGTCACCCATTTTCAAAGGGCCTGGTTTGGTCTTATGCAGGTTTCCAACCTGTCAGTCTGAAGTCAGTGAGCCTTGGAGAGGCAGAGCATCGAGCACTGCACGTCCTGGGAACTTCATGCTGTTATTGAGCATAACTCTGCTTGTTGCCCTTGTGATCCCAATATCCTCATAATCTATGAATTGTGTGAAAACTCACAGGGGTTTTCTAAGTTCTTCCTGGACAATATTACTGGTACTCATAGTAATAGTGATTAACTTTTTCCAAGCATTGTTGCTGGAGCAGGTGATGATTCAGCCCCCCCCCCCTTAGAAAGAATTCATACATGTAGATTGGCAGTAAGGTTAGGTTAACATGTTTTTGTTCGTGGCTTTGGGATATAAAATCTTGGGGAACAATATAAAGTTTAGAAAGGCATTTTTTAAATTGTTGAGCCAGGGACTTGTTGAGGTCAGGGGAAACAAACAACCACTTCGCTAATGCTGACTGACAAAACTTTCTCCCCAGAACGGGCTGGTGCTCTAAGGGTATGATTAATTACTTGTACCCATTTCTACCCTCAGCTTCCTGATATGGGTTTAATAAAAAATAAACCATTGATGAGTGGGTATATACCCTGAGGATTTAAAATAGATATGACTGATATTTTTGTATATAAAAAATTAGATTTGTGATTATTTTTAAGATTTTTATATGATTACCTTCTGAGATAAATAATAAAAAATGATCGATCCTTTCTTTTTTAACAACAAAATGCAGCCTGACAGTAAAAGAACCGGCTGAGAAAAACACCTTGCTTGCTCACACTTCTTTAATGCATAGCAAGTTGCTTAGCCATAAATGTATGTGGGTCTTCATATAATGTAATTTTCATCTGTAATATGTAAAATGTTTAATCATATAAGGGAAATTAATATGTAAAATGTTTAATCATCTGAGGAAAATGAGAAATATGTTGTTTTTGCTTGTATTCATTACAAAAAATTTACTTGAAAAATAGAATGTAGCCACATTGTAATTTTTATATTGCTTGAGTATATAATCTGTAAGTGAGAAATAAAACGAGGAAGAAGGGAAACATAAGGGTTGACGAACAGAACAGATAAAGAACAGAATTGGAGCAACCGGCAGAAAGATAAATTGAAGAATCAAGTTTTAGACCTCAGATACAAAGATCACTTGTGTGTCTGGACATCTGTTCTAGTGGTTCCCTATCCACATCTCCTCTCCAGTTTCTCTGGACTGCTGAAAGCTGGTCCTTACAGCAACATTCTACTGTATTGTTTTCTTATAACCCAACAAATGAATTCAGTTTTAGCTGTCCCACCTCATATTTTCCCTCTTCCCTTCCTCTCTCATTTGATCCTCCTGTTCCCATATCCCCACATCCATTGCTAACTATCTCTTCTCTTTTCTTTTTCCTAGGGTGATACAATCCTCCATTGTAGTCCCTTATTCTATATTTAACCTCTGTGCTTATATGTGTTTTAGTCTGCTTTTGAAAGCTTAACAGCCAGCATCTACATATAAGCAAATACTATACTCTCTTTTTGGATCTGGGTTAACTTACCCAGAATGATTTTTTCTTTTTCTTTTTTCTTTTGTTGAAACAATTT